AGAGTCCCAAAGAAAACCTGGGTATTCTTGTCCATCCTTGGCAAACGTGGCAGTCAGCTTTAAGTTTTTCTCTCAGGTTCTCAAACTGTGGTGTATAAGCCAGTGGTTTTGGCTTACACTAGTATTGTTCACAGTTGAAATAATTGTTTAAACCCCCTGTACTCGAGAAGAATCTTACTAGACTTGCTTTATTCCCTGTGGAGCAAAACAGTTAACAAGGTGTCCCCTGTTTTCAACCAGGCCAGAAAGCAAAGTGGCGCTGCCCCAATTGTATTAATTACACCATCTTTCCTACCAGGAAAGAATAGAGTAGAATTGAAAATTAGTTTTGTTTTCCCCTTCTACTTAACCTCAGAAGAAACATGAGCATAAAATTCAAGGTCATTTCAGTAGCTACTACACAGAAAAGGGAGAAAAATGTAATCTTCCAACCCCAAAATCTTACTTGTGAGGTAAAGCAAAAACAGCAACAACCAAAACCTTCCCATTAATCACACCTCAGGTTGGACTCAAGAATGTGCCCTTTGTTGGCCTGAATTAATTCAGAATAGAATGTCCTGTTGAATTGACCTGAGTGAAAATGATCCCATGACAAAAGAAAAATCACCACTTTCCTTCCAATACCACCCGAGATGAGAGGTCAGACTCCCAAGGGATCCATTTGCCAGATAAACACACTAAATTGGAAGGTGAACACACAGTGCGGCCTGCAGGTGGGACCCACCTGTCACTTGTGGATTAGCACACTGTACTTCAGGCTTTCTGAATGAAATTCTGAGCCACTACACTTTGGTGTGGGAAATTTCACCAGATTACAGTAGTCTTTCCCTACAGAATGGCTTTACTGACTTGTAAACTAGACTTGGTAGGGGAGACATGTTTAATAGCAGGGTTCAATATTTTCTGTTTCAGTGGGAAAGAATCAAATTGCCTGATAAAACTCTGGGGGTATGGAGCAGGAAGAAGATGGAGACTTTAAAAATGTTTACAGTTTACACTGGGACTTGAACATAGATGAATGGAAACAAAAGTCAAACATAATCTAAAATACCTTATCACAAGGTTTATCTTCATATATTCTATGCAGATGGGGACACCAAGGTGGCAGAACATTAGCTACCCCATAGTGACATCAAGTGCCCTCACCCATGGCTCCACATCACGACAGTATACTTCGAACAATCACCAGATGAGCTCTAAGTTGTTCATGACTAATGAAGCTTGAAGTTTCCCATGAGGCTTACATTAAATATAAATTAAGTTCCTTCAAAGCAGTCTAGGTAACAGCCTTGCTCACACTCGTCTGCATTTCTAGACGTTTTCTTGGGTGGGAGAGAAAGAGTGGAGTTAGAGGCAGACTGCAGAGAATTTTGACTGCTGAGAACCACCCATCATCTTGGTTACACTGATGAGAGAAGGCCTCCCAAGTAATAGTGCAGAAGAAACACTGTGAACCTCTAACCTGGGAGCCTAGGAACGAATTCCTGTCAGCCATAGTAAGCTCCTCTACTCTGGAATGATCAAGAGGGAAGGGAAAGGGAATTGTTATTTCATCTGTTCAGGTGACTGCTTGCTCACCTATCCTGATAGGACATGTTCCTAGCAGGAAGCAAGGGACCTGGAGACAGCTTTGACAGGTGCTAGTGACAGTCTCCTCCTACTGCCCCACCCTCTGCAAGTTCTCAGGTAAATACAATTATTATTTGATTCAACCTAGAGCTAAAATTAGTTTCCTGTCGGGCAGCAAAAGCCAGACCACCCCTGTTTGTTTGCTCTTGTCCTTTCATTGTCTTTCCCAAGAAACTGGCCAGAGGTGTGGTGGTTCATGCCTTTTATCCCAGAACTGGCTAAAAGCTTGAGACCCTATCTAAAAAATAACTAAAAAGTAAAAAGGGCTGGGGGTGTGGCTCAAGTGGTAGGAGACCTAAATTGATTCTGTACAAAGATTAAGTCTGTGCTGCCCTGTACATGAGCTGCCAGTGACCACCTGGGTGGCTCCAATTGCTGAGGCCAATGCAGAAACTGGCCAGAAAACAGGAATGCTTTGTGGACACTTTGTGTGCAGTGAGAGGGGACACCCACAATGCTATGCACAGGACATATGTGCCCATGAGGACGAATGGGGCCAGCTAGGCTGCAGTTGCACAAAGCTGGGACTCGCCCTTGTAATTGACAATGAGAAGTTATTAATTTTTTTTTTTTTTGGTAGTACTGGGGTTTGAACTCAGGGCCTCATGGTTGCTAGGCAGGTGCTCTACCCCTTGAGTTACTCCACCAGCTCTTTTTGGTGATGGTTTTTTTTTTTTTTTTTTTTTTCAAGATAAGATCTTGTGAATTATTTGCCTAGGGCTGGCTTCAAACCTTGATCCTCCCTGATCTCTGCTTCCTGAGTAGTTAGGATTACAGGTGCCATAGGCACCTGGCAGAAGCCATTAATTTTTTGAAGAGAGAAACTGATTTGGAAAATGTCAGGATCAACTTAGCTTATAAATCACTTCATTTTTAGGTAAGATGGATGAGTTTTGGTTGAGCCCACTTTGGGGGAAAAAAAAAAAAAAGGGCAGAGCAAGAAGTGTGTTATCTGTTGCTCCTGAAAAGGTTCTCAGACCATCAGAGCAGAATCAGGAGTCATGGCAGAGAACAGAAACCCAGAGAAATGCCTCCCATGTCTGAGGTCTTACTGACTTGCGGATTCTGCCACAGCATCGAGAGGTCACATCTAAGATGGTTTCCGAAAGATTTGTGGAAAGCTGCAGCACACTGGGGCAGAAATGATGCAAGGCTCTGTCCCTTTCCTTATATATGAAACCAAAGACTCACTTTTTCAACAGTAAATCTCACTTGGGGTCAGAGATAAGATAAGATACCACGAGGACATAAGAATAGGCTATGAGTGCTGCCCAAGAATTTGTGGGTTCCCCAGGTGGTAACTCAAAACTATCATATGAAAAATAAGTAATCCTTTAATTTCTTAGTACCAAATAATATCTGGAGAACAGTTGGCGAAATGAGATACTAGACTTAAAAAAAGTTTCCAAACAATAAAACTTACCTTTTAAAGAACTGAAACATTTGAGCCATATTTTTTTCAGAAAGAATTATTTGAGATACATTTCACACTGCCCTGGATTATGAAGCAGACTTCATGCAATAAAATGACACCCTTCCTGACAGCATTATGAGTGCTGAACTACCTGAGCCATGCAAATTACTTGCCTCCCTGAAACTGTGTATAGAAAATTTTTGTGCATGTGAGCACTGTGGTTTTTCACAAAGATCTGTATTTTAATTTTTCTAAAAGATCCAAGAAAGAAAGGACCACTGACTCTGACTGTACCCAAAATGGCAAGCCCCAGACTGACCAGCCTGGGCACTGGAGGCTTGAGGCAATGTTCTCCTCTCTTCTCCTCGTTATCTGTCCCTTCTCATCTACTCTACTCTTACTCCACTGTGTGGGCTCTCTTTCCTCTTGTGATTGCTTTTTCTTTTCTTCTCCCTCACATTCCGTAACTATTTCTTCACTTCTGGGGTGAGGACAAATATCACTTCTCTTTAAAAAAGGATGCAAGGTCGGACACAGTGGCTCATGCTGGGTGTGGTGCTGCATGCCTGCAGTTCCAACTATGCAGTAGGTGGAGACGGGAGGATTGTGGTTCAAGGCCAGCCTGAGCAAGATCCTGTCTCAAAAATAAGCCACGTGTGGTGGTATGTGGCTATCATCCCAGCTATGAGGGAAGTGGAGATAGGAGATTCAAGGCCCAAGGCCAGCCCTAGGCAAAAAATGGGAGACCCTATCTGAAAAATAATCAAAGGAAACATGGCTGGGGTGTGGCTCAAATGGTAAAGCACTTGGGGCCCTGAGTTCAAACCCCAGTACCACCAAAAAAAAAAAAAACTGCAACTTTCTGTTTGGCATGTCACATGGTCTGGTAAATTTCAGTACTTACTGCTAGTTTCATTTCTGTGCAATACCTGGGAATCTTTCTAGTTACCAATGGGTTTGTAAGTATCCTGGGAAGCTGAGGATACCAGATGTCAGATTGCTGGGGACATGCTTAGCAGCAAGCTTCCTGTAGATTTTAGTAAGCTCAACATGGGTGTTTGACAGCAATGAGCATGCAGGCACACATGCAATCTTTCTGCAGAGAGCTGAGGAGCTCTGCCTATTTTCTAGCTTGTATGAGTATGTGAAGTATTTGCAGCCCCAATCAAAGCTGGGATTTGCAAGAAATATTTAGGGCTTGCTCAGCATGGCATTTTCAATCACGTTCTATAAATGGGATGCTGTTAAATGAGCCATTAAAAAAATAAAGAAAATGTTACTGCTTCTCCTTCATTGGTAGATGATGGCAGTGTGCAAAGTTAAAGAAAAAAGGGGGGGGGGGCATGGAGGGAGGCAGGGGAATTTCTGCGTGCTGGGGAGGGAGCCCAGCCTGGGTGTAGCAGCCCCGGTAAGAATAGTGGCAAGTGCACAGCACTAGGTAAGTGCCCCTGTTTGGTAGCTTGAAGCAAGAACTGAGTGTTCAGCCGTTGTTATCACACCACAGAAGATAAGATGCAGGCTCCTAAAATTCTTGATCACATGACTTACTTCTTACCTGTCAAGGATGTTATTTTATAGTTTGGAATAGAGGAAGAAGGAAAGATATGGCTAACTTTTAAAATTACTAAAAAAAAAAAAAGCATTATGCCATGGGAGAAAGATATATTCCCAAGAAGAGCTAGAAGAATAGACAATATAAAAATAACTAAAATCTAAATGTATAATTGTAAAGCATGCACATAAATATCAGTGCTCCAAAAATTGAAATAGAGATGAAAACTTTAAAATAGGAAGATTAGCCATGCATGTCCAAAAGGCAAGGGACAAGATTAGCAAGGAGCCAGAAACTGAGAAAAGCCTGTGTTGCCTCATGAGGTCCCTTACTTCTCCCATCTCCATGCCACACTGATGTGGTCCACACTCACAGTCTCAATGACAGTCCTGCCCAGCATCTTACCTCATTGCAGTCACCAGCTGGGATGTGTGATGGCTGTGCTTCTTCATCTAGTGGTTCAATCACTGTCACCTCTGCAAACTCCTCCACGGATTCTTGAAACTCAGGCAAGGACCTTCGTCCATACCGCTTCCCACCTCTAACATACTTGGGCTGAGCTTCTAGCGAGCAGTCTGGACAAGGAGACAAGAGTTGAGGCCACATTACATGACAATCTCAGCCCCAAGCTGACACTCACAGCCCACAAACTCAGCTTTTTATAGTGGCCCCAAAATAAACCACCACTATTTGCCAGTTGTGGTGGCCGTGGGCGTATGTGAGCCATCAGGTCAGATGCAGAGCAACTTCAACTTCTGAATGATTTATATCATATCAGGAGAGACATTCAATGATGCAGCAAGGGATTTGACTCAAAGTATCAAAGAAAGGCCAGGAAAAGGCACTGATCATTCTCAATCTTTTGTTTATTAAGTTGGTGTTTTACAGGGTGAAGGGTACAGAAGGGAGTGGACAGAGAGAAAAAAATCTAACAGAGACACACCTTGGAGGAAGTCTTGAAATGGTAACAAAATGATCACTGTAAAGTTAGCATCCACACCTATTAGTGTGAAACTCTCTCATGCCTCAGTGACCCCGTTAACCATTCTGCTTTCTGATCATCAGACAAGCAGAACTGACACAGCAAAGAAACTGACACAGCAGATTCTAATCAGCTAGTGACAGCAGTCACTTCCATGAAACCTGGCATCAAGATCTCAGTATAAAATTAAAAACTGTGGAATAAAATAGCAAATGCAAAATCACACTAACAAAAATGATATATTGTGTTTTTTCTCTTCATGAGCATCAGTGTTGTACAAAATAAAAAACAATGTGCATAAGGAGGGTCATCTCTTGACCTTCAAGAACTGCAGCATTTTGACATGGCACGTCTTGGGTTCAACATTCTCACCTTCACCACCACCACCACCACCATCACCATCATGCCCCATCACTGTCCGTCACCACCACCACCACCACCAACACTACAGACTAATTTTTCTCTACTATGGACAGCTTTAAAGCAATAAATACTTCACTCCATTCAAGTGTCATCTTAAAGATTTTTTAAAGCACCTTGCACAGAATTAGAATAAAATACTCCACTAAAATATAAAAGACCAGTGATGCTTTGATTTCTGTTGCATTATTGTCTATGCAGATACTCTCTCGCTCTCTCTCTCTCTGGAGAATGCAGTATGAGATCTGCTTGAACACAACAGCCTTAGCAATAAATCTCAGAACTCAGACATGCAGATCTTTAGATGAGGTGTGTAAACATCATCAAAGTGAGGTGCTGGCTAGACACAAGCTGAAAGAACAAAACCTTTACCACCATGGAAACAATGGCAGGGTAGCTCTTACTTTATAGCCTCCCTGGGAGGGCTGATAACCATGTTTGACTAGCCACTTACCCCCAGGCTCTTCCTCTTGTATAAGCTCACATTTCATGATACTCACAAATGTGACCAGAAGCATTCCGAAAATGCTCAGGAAAGCTTGGAGTGAAGAATTTATGCTAACTATGCAATCACTGAGTGATATTTATATCCAGCTTTTTAAAAGTCCCAGCCAAGTCATTTTATTAGGTAGAGCAATTCTCTTACAGGAAGTGTTTAAGCATACAAAATTTATATTGCAAATGGCATGCATATTTCAAGGTACCTTTCATCAGAAGAGAGTGTGTCAACTTGTGAGTACTCAGGAGTGGCACAGACACCAGAGCTACTTGTTGGCAGCTGACACCCACAGATGCTAGTCAGATAAGAGGCAATGCAGAACCATCCTTAATTTATTAGATATTCTTAAACTTCAGTGGCAGATAACAGGCTATACCACTAGTGACAATGGGGGCTTGGAAAGGACTGAAAAGAAAAGATGTAGCCTTGGAAAAGAAGACATGGGATTTTCCCAGTGTGAGAACAAAGTCATGTCCTGGAATGGAATTGACCAATGAGCTCTTGCTGCATGCTGCACTTTTTCAGATGGAAAAAACATAGTGAGGAAGCAACAGTCTGACAAAATCCCCAGTGGGATCTAGTCCTAAACTTACCTGTGCACAAAATGGTTCCCAGTTATTTACTACTACTATCCCACATAATGTCGGGAGCAGAGGTGGAATCCAAACAGCTTTCTTCCTAAGCAAGGGAATAAAGTGGCCCCATAGAGTGTTGGGTTACTTATTGTACTTATTCTTGTGTTGAAACTTCAAAACTTTTAAATTGTATTTTATTATAATAACCAATTCTGAGCAAACTTTAAGTTAATATCTTCTCAGAATGTATATGGATGACAGTCAATTTCTAGTGAAATCTGTCAAATCACATAATATTTTTATAATAGATATTAGCACACACCAATGAAAATGGATTAAGGTTTCCTTATCACTGAATTGCCCAAACCATCCATTAGACTCATCAAACCATTCAGAAAGTGTTACTTCTTAGCCGTACACACATCCCTCTCCTATTCACAGCATCACTGAATTTGCATAAGAGGGGAAGAGAGACAACAATAATAAGGAGGCCCATAGAGAACACTCATGGTCAATAGCCATTGCTGTGTTAAGCATCTGAGAACTATGATTCTCCTTAATCTCAATCAGGGCTTCCCAAGTCAGCAGCAGCAGTCCACCAAACAGGAGGACTGCTTAAGACATTTTATCTCTTCAGCTGAAGTGTGCCTTCCTCCTTCCTGAGTCTGATGGAAGAGATGCAAAACAGCAGCACTGAGGCAAAATCTACTTTTGAGCATACCCACATACACTGGAGCCTTTACAGGAATGTGGTTGCAAGGAGCCTGCCATGGAGGAAAACCTGTGCATGCTCAGTACACACAGAGCTCAGTGCTGTACTACAGAGGCTTGATTTGCTTTTCCCATAAGGATGCACAACTTCCACTAAAGACAGGCTGCCTTTCAACACTTCTAAAGTTTTCACTTTATCACTTAGATTAAGCATGTTAATTTTTACCTTGCTTTTTGAGCACCATTGCCTTTTGGGGAGACAGATTTTCACAAAACTAAGGGCAGGGAAACACTCAGAAGCTCACACATGATTTAAACACAACTGACAATAACGAGGGACTAAGAGCTTCTCCACATCAACTGAGCTGTGTAATAAATGTGAGAATTTTTTTTGACAGTGTTTGGTTAAAACCAAATATAATAAATCCATGAATAAGGCAGGCTTACTGAATGACATATTTTTTCAGGGTTTCATTCTGGAATAATTTTACCTACACCAGGTAATATGAGATTAATTGGTTTGTTAGGAAGTGGAATCATTTACATCACATTAGCTACTCCAATAGTGAGCTCCAAGGAGAGATGTAAAATGCCAGTGAAACAAAGCATAAAGAACTGTGCTGTCTTTGGTGTTTCGGTTCCTTGAAAATACATTTGTGATTCTGCCTGGTGTGTCCAGCTTCTGAGTCACGTTCTCTTCTTTCCCATTTTCCATTCTCCTGTTTGAGTATCAGGACATAAAAACACAAACAGGGCTTGAAGGAAAGAAAACAAGTCTGGCCTGCGTTGGGGAGGCTGGGAACCATCCCAGGGGAGCATATTCTAAAACACACCAGTCACAGTAAGGGACTTTGAGGCAGTCCTACCTGACCCAGTTTAGATGGCTTGGGTTTTATTCCATAACCCCAATGCTTAGTTATGAGTAGGGGACAGAAGAAAAACCTTGATTCAATCCCCTAAGGCTGCTGAAGGAATGTAGAAGAAACGACAAGCTCTACAGAGCAGGTGGGGAAAAGACCTACTCAGGGAATTCAAAAGATAAAGTATTCCTTTTGATTTCAGAAGTTAAACAAAGCCTGCACACTCGTTCTTTACTCCACAACTCATCTGCCCAGAGCTGTGACAACATTCAACTTCCAAATCGGAATGACCCACACCATGCACATGTCAGACTTGTGACCAGAAGGCCCTGCACTTATCGTAAAAAGGAAAGCAGAATACAAAGTCAAGGGAATGACACTTGGAGAAGATGAGCTGGTTGCCGCACATGCCATTCCTCTCCCCACTCTTCCCAGCAGCAGTGTGGATGGCGGAAACACAGCCTTCCAAAGTCTAGACAGTGAGTCTAAGCAGTGAGTGCACAGCTCGCCTCACTTCCTCCTAAGTGACCACAGTCACCTGTGTCATGTAGCTGACCACTCAGCAATCCCAAAGTCACTGCATAGATGGCCACGGGCAGAATGATGAGACCCTATGGGGAGCTGTAAGAGTTATCCAAAAGCCTAAGCATGATTTATTCAATCAAGTGCTCTCCTTGCACAAACACAAGCTTAGGACCTAGGCTGAGGGGCATCCACAGCACACAAGGAAGCCTTCTAGTGTCAGGTGATTCATTTAACTCACATTCTCTGGATACCTGCCCTGGGCAAGGCATTGTTATGCCTATCAAAGAATAGATGGAAATTTTACCATTTTTAAAAATCAAACTACTCCAAAACTCTATCCAAAGATGAAGAAGAAAGTTCACCCTTATGGTGCTGACATTCTTATTCTGGATTTGCTCCCATGAATGCTTGTTTTCTACTTCCCTTCCTGAGCCACTCAGTGAGCCTGGGGGACCACGCCCAGAGACACAATCCCCTTCCAAAGATCCTCAGCTGAGGGGTGATGCCAGGTGAAGCTGCATTTCTTCTGAGCTCTCAGGATTCCTCAGATTGATTTGAAAATAAAATAAAAAAGGGTCCAGAGTGAAATGCACAAACCACAAGACAAACACCCCCAAGAAGCCTTCTTGGAAAAAGGCAGTCATGCAGCAAATAAGGACACACAGCCCTACTGCATCCTGCCTCTTCACCTGCTCTGAACACACCATTACACAGGAGTTACTTCATGAGAGTGCAGACTCACACCTGGTTCTAAGCAAGAAGGAAGGAAGGAAAAGAATCAAAGGTAAACCAAACCCAAGACCGAGAAAGACCTAGAGATACATACAGACAGGGACTGACAGATTGACATAGAGAGGCAGAAAGAGAGAGACTGAGACCAAGAGAGAAAGAGAAGGGGATGGAGAAAGAGGAAGATACAGAGACTTAGAGGCCCATGGAGGGAGGTGGGAGGAGAGCAAGAGAAACAGATGCAGGAAGGGAAACCAAGAAGTACAGGAAGAGT